CAGACAATTTCCTTCTTACTCTCAAGAGACAACCTTGAAAGTTCATTGACAGTCTAGATTTAAAACCTGGAATCAGGGACATTTGGATGTGTACCTACCCCGTCCAAAAATCGCTCCATGTAAACTCACATAAACACAGGGGTTATGAACCGAGTTGGGGAATTTCAAACAATGCAGACACTACTTCCACTGGCTCACAGACCCCAGGTAGGGGTGAGGCCTGTAGTTGAGAGGAGCCTCCCTCACAGGGAACATGCAAGTTCAGTGCATTCGCTGGCAAAGTGATGTGGACCAAAGGGTGCCCTGCCCGAAGCTGAAAGGCTGGCGAACTCCTCCAGGGTGATTCATCGAACAGCACTTGGCCAGCCACACGGTGGAGAGCCAACTAGATGGGGTTCTGCCAGGAGCCCCCCAGTTATTCTTGCAGAGAAGAGCTAGGGAGAATTCTGCTCCCTGTTTTCGTAGGCTACCCCTCTCATTCCCCCTCAGGCTGGCCTCCTCCTCCCCAGCACATCTACCAGGATCGAGGGTGGAGTACCCCCAAGAAGAGGGAGTTCACAGAGCACTTCTAGCACTGAACTATATGGCCAAGAAAGGAGGAACTTGGGTCTGTATTGCAAACCACAATACCCAAAAGAAGACAGAGAGACAGACAGAGACAGGGACAGAGACAGAGACAGGGACAGAGACAGAGACAGGGAGAGAGACAGAGAGAGAAGTGCCTGCCATAGAGGCATGTTGGGGTTAGGGGTTGGGGGTGATGGGAGGGAACCTGGGGACACTGGTGCTGGGAAACGTACTCTGGTGGAGGGATGGGTGTTGGAACACTGTATGACTGAAATCTACTCATTAACAGCTTTGTAAGGGTCTATCTCACAGTGATTCAATAAAAAAAAGAAAGAGAAAGAAAGGGGGGACTTGGGATGTTTGCCTCCCTGCTCAGCATTACTGGAGTCATCACGTGCTTTTGAAGTTTGGAAACGGGGGGTGGTGGTGCCACAGATGGAATCCTCTCGTCCAGGGGAGGAGGCATGTGCCCTGGCGCTGAACTCCATCCCCAGCTCCCATTATGCGCTTTTAAATTTCTTTCACTCTTTTTCGTAAGAAACAGAGTTCCAGTTCTAAGTGACATGTGTGTTCCCGTCCCGTCCCCTCGTCCAGTCAAGGTCAAAGTGTTGAGAAGCCTCCTTGGCAGAAGGCCTGGTCCCAGGAAGAACAACAAGCTGATAAGAACTGGTTTGGTGTGTGTTTCCACCCCCCAAGTCACATTCATTATTTTATAGAGGTATATTTCAAATAACATAAAATTAGCTACACTGGCTGTTTTAGCTGTACAATTCAAGGGCAGTCAGCACATTCACAGTGAATCCCTATCTAGTACCCAACAATTCTAACACCCCACAATCGTTACTCAAATATTTCCCATTTTTCCTTCCCGTCCCAAGCCTCGACAATCACTAAACTTCTTTCTTCCTCTCTAGATTTTTCTATTTTAAGATTTTCCTATTCTATCAGACAAAATGGGATATCATTTTTTTTCTTATATTTATTTATCGAACCACTGTGGGAAAAGTTACTAAGTTTTCAGGTTTAAATCTCGGTCATACAATGATCAAACACCTTTCCCTTCACCAGTACTCATTTTTCACCACCAAGAACCCCAATATACCCCCCTCCCACCCCTCCCAATGCCTGTGAGGCAGATGATTTCCACTTAACTCTTCTCTACATTGATTACATTCATTATTTCGACAAAAGATGCACCATTATTGTTTAGAATTTACCCCCCAACAATCAGAATTGCTGAAAAGGCATTGTGAAATACTTTGTTTTTTATAGCTGGTTATGAGAATCATATAATGATTTTGGGTGTCTGCAAAGAGCCAGATAATTACGAGATTGGTTTCTGTCCGTCTGGTGTTATGGCTGTGCTGGAGAGCCACTTGTGGGGGGCAACTCGTGACCTCAGTAGGGAGTGAAGGGTGAGCTGGTACCACCTCCCTTCCCATGAGACTGTAGTTGCCCCATCACGGCCGGCTCATACCTGGCTTTCCAATAAGCACTGAGGCGGCGGCCACCTTGTATGCGGTTCAGATGCATTTCTGCCAGAAGCCACTGGGTTTCGAGATTTGTTTCTGAGTCTCTGGGATCATGGCCATTAATCAGCTTGATCAGGAGCCAGAGAGGACGTTTGTAGGTGGCGTCTAGGGGTTTTGCTGGAATGGGGAGGAAAGAGTCGGTTCCACTCCCATCTGGTGAGGCCCTGCATGTCTCGTCACTGCAGGCCCAAACCTGACTGTCCAGTAGCCTCTGGAGGATGGCGGTCATTGGGCCACCAAGGGGAATAGGCCAAGGCACAAAACCTATTCCCACCTGGAGTGGCCCAGCCACGGTAACCTACTGCAGGAACAGGACGCATTTCTGCCAAAAGCCTTTGGGTTCCGAGATTCGTTTCTGAGACTCTGGGATCATAGCGGTTAAGCTGTTCGATTAGGAACCAGAGAGGCCATGCCTCCAATTATATAGCTGAGCCGGAGGTGGTTTGTGGGTGTGTCTCCCACATACCTAACTTTTGGCCATTTACTTTCTTGATAAACTTTGCCCCATGTTTTTGGGGTCTGGCCAAAGGCACAGCAGCAATTTTGGGGTATCTGAAAGTCTGACGGTGCCATCAGGCTGCTGATGCACTCGCCTCACAGGTACAGATTGACCTGCTGACAGCACCATACCCCCTGGGATATCATTTTTTTTTATTAAATTCTTTCACTAAACATGGCATTTTCAAGGTTCCTTGCATTACAGATAGATGTATCAAAACTTCATTCCATCTTAAGGACTTTATGTATCTTTGTATATTAGGATCCACCTCACCACCTGAAGCAAAGAAGTGACAATAAATATTGAGAAGTGAATATTTCCTGGAAAAATGACCTTTCCTGTAGGACTGGGTTAAGCTCCTATTCAGGAAATTTCCTCTTTAAGATCAGGAAGGACATTGTGGTCCTGCAGATCTTATATGGAGGGAAATGAGATCCTTTTTTCAAGAAAAAGCATTTAAATGTGTTCACAGGCATTCACAGCTCTGCAAATGGACCAGGGTGGATGGAGGCAGAGGGAACCCCCTCAGTGGTGCCTGAGAACCTATTTGGCATTCAGCTCTCAGTTCGGGGCTCTAGAAACTGGGAGTCCATCCTCTCTGTTACCAGGGTAGCTACTCAGGCTGTTCCTGTAGTTCTCATCAAGAACTGCATTCCTGAGATGAGCTCTCAGACATGGTCCCTACCATTATGCTGTTACGAGGCTGGGCAGTCAAAGATGTAGCGCATATTCCTGGTCAAGTATTTCATTCCCCTGCCGTATGATAGGCAGTGACACCGAGAACAGGACCGGCTGTGTGCTCAGAAGGAGAGGGCATGGTCAAGGGAGGCTTCTAGGATGTTATCATCAAGACTAAGCAGAAATTGGAGCCGGAGCTATAGCACAGCGGTAGGGCATCTTCCCTGTACGCAGCCAACCCGGGTTCGATCCCCGGCATCCCATATGGTCCCCGAGCGCTGCTAGGATTGATTTCTGAGTGCAGAGCCAGGAGTAATCCCTGAGCATCGTTGGGTATGACCCAAAAAGCAAAAACAAAAAAAATCAATAAAAGACTAAGCAGAAATTAAGTAGGTGCCAATGGTGGGAGGGTGGTTCAGGGAAATCAAAGCATCCGCATAGGCCCTGGGGCTAGCCAGAGGTCAAGTTTGACATTTTAAGGGCCATCCCATGTGTTGGAAGACCAACAGGAGCACCAGGTGCCGGAGAGGCTGAGAGAGCCTCAGGACCAGGCTCTCTGGGCTGGGGTTTGGTCATGCAGCTAGGTCATGGCTGCTGAGACGGTGCCCTGAGCAGCTGTCTGGATGTGTCTGCAATGAACATGCAGAGCACTTTGAAATCTACAGTGGAATGGGTATATGATCAGGAAAAAAAGTTTTCTCATTTCCTACCTTGTCTGCCTCTCCCCCTCCCCCACCCCTATAGTAATAGTAGTTTCTAGGACTTATGGCTTATTGGTTGGGTTTTTTGTTTGTTTGTTGATGTTATTTTGTTTTGGGGCCACTTCCGGCCGTGCTTAGGACTTACTCCTGGCTCTGGGCTGAGGGATCACTTCTGGCGGGCCTAGGGGACCATTTGGGATGCCGGGGATTGAACCTGGGTCAGCCACATGCAAGGCAAATGCCCTACCCACTGTACTATAACTCCGGCCCTTTCTAGAACAAATGGAAGAAGCAATAGGGGCGCGTTGTATGGGGATGGCGTCATTCAAAGTTAGTATTACCACAGTGCCTTGGAAAGCGTTCTCTTTTGCTGCGAATATCTGAGAGCTAAAGAGGTCATTAGTGCAGCCACAAAGGAATAGGCAGAGTGAGCGTACGTTAGTTCAGGATTAACTTCCACTTCCCCCACTTTCAAGGGACATAGTGTTACACCCACAGCTGGCAAAGAGTCACATTATATTTAAGCTTAGATTTCAAAACTGCTTGTGACGATTTTGGCAGGGTGTCCCTAGCTTGCTTTCTTAAGCAACCCAGATGAGGATTGCTTTTATTTTTTTTTTCATTCGAGTGCCTGGGAGGTTTAATCTTTCGTTTCTAAATACATACGATATTATGATGGAGAATTCGTTTGGATTTCAGGCAGTAAGTTAGGTTTTGTCACTTTTTAAGGAGCTGTAATATTAGCAGGCTTTGCTTTTCGGTGCAGAGAGGAAATAATTTCTCTGGGCTTCTAATATTTCCCAACCCTAAGAGAAAGTTAAGCACCTGAGTTAGTCACCCAGACCCTGCCACTGAATGTGACTCGAACAAACATGAATAATTTATTGATTCTCATTTATGGCTTCCCCCTTCCACCCCTGTGTATTAGAATTCTGAATGTTGTTGAGCTGCCTTGGGATTTCCCCCTGATTTGAAAACTCTTGTTTATAGTTTTTTTTTCTCCATCCTTTTTTCCGCTTCCAGTTTATTCGGTTCCTGCAAGGTATTTACGAACTGACCAAGATTTCAGCTAAGAGATGAAAGTGATGACTAGCTTGAGAGTCTTTCTTCAAGTGGATCCAGTGAAACTGCTATGGAGAAAGTTCCAGATGCCAAGGTTCATGCCAGTGAGGCCGTGTAGCCTCTATACCTGTACTTACAAAACCCGGAGCCGGAACCCAGCTTGTAAGTACATGGCTGCCTTAAGGCTGTCAAGTGTTTCCTAATAGTTGAGTGTGTTAAAAGTGTTCTGATGTCAGTGACTTATCAGAGTGGAATCATATGCTTTAATAACTGTGAGAATCGTTGATTGTTTCTCTACTTGTCTTTGAAAATTAATGTGGAAATTTCTGTTCTTGACCAATTTTCAAGACGTTGAAAAGATCTCAGCCAGAAATAGGACGAAGGAGATGGCCCAGTTTCAGATACTTTGGAAATGGTTCTTTATTGTTTCTTGTTAACAATGGGCTTTTTTGCTAAGGCTGGTCCACAGACTGTGAATGATTTCTGGAGGCCTTTTCTGAAAGCTGCATGTTAATGTTTGTGAGCAGTTCAGTAGCTTCTCACTCTGAAAGACACTGTTCCTCGTCCCAAATTATGAGTGAACTGTAGTTGACCAACCCTCTCAGTGTGTGCTATGCTGGAAAAACAGCAGATCAAATGAGGCAGAAAATGGCCCTTCCCTGAAACCTTTCCCCTCCTGAAATCCAAGTCCATGTCCTGACTTGGGGTGAGGAGATTCTCTACTGGGATTCAATTGGCTGGGAAAGGAGGGGTTTGCCCTCTATTGTCTCGGTAATAGAGCTGTGCAGTACACTATTGGATGAGTCACTGCAACAATGCCCTTTACCTACTGGATGCCAGTAGGATGTGCCCTGAGCTGAACCAACCATATTATCTACAGACACTACCCAGTTAGATCTGGAAGACAGAATTTTCTCAGGTTCAGAAACATGGAGATGATAGGAGGGGCAGCTCATGTGTGTATTTGTGGAGAGTCAAGTTTGAGTTGTAAGACGATAAATAACTGTGCATTCTTCTAAAAAAATGGTTTGGAGGTCATACTCAGAAGTGCTCAGAGCTTACTCTTGGCTCGGGGATCACTCCTTCAGGGACCAGATGCAGTGCCAGGGATCGAACTCAGGTCAGCCACATGCCAGGAAAGAGCCTTGCCTCTTGTATTGTCTCCCCGGCTCCTATGTGTCCACCTAAGGAGGGATTTTTCATATTTTTATTATTTAAAAGATGGTAACACAAACAGGTAAAGGTAAATGGTTGTAAATCACTGAAGTTAGCCTGGCTAACTCTTAGTACTTGAAATTGCCTACTAACATTATTCTTTTCAGTTGTATGTGTTTCTTTCAGTGTGTTGATTATTTACATAGAATAAATTGACCAGAATCATAATAAATTTCTGTTGCTGGGTGTGACTTCCTACCAGCGGGCCCACATCCTACCCAGACTGGCTTGTTTTCAACACTGGCAATTTGTGGTCAAAGGCTTAAAATGGAAACACAAGTCATATTCATTTAGTCATTAGTTTTACTTTTTACCAAAAAAGTGAAAGTTAAAGGCCTGAAGAAGGCTAATCTGTTTTAGAATGGCTCACTCCTTTCAGTGAGACCAAAAAATGTAGTGGTGGCTTGGAGAGGTGGTGGTTTATCTTAATCAACTTCTCTTCTCAGATATCCTGTTACTAAGAAAAACAGGGCCAGTCATGCTTTGCTTTTGCTTTGTGCATCTTGATCTTCCCTTCCCTGTTATCACTGGCAAAAAATTATTATTATTATTATTATTGTTGTTTTTTATTTCTTTTTGCTTTTTGGGTGACACCTGGTGATGCACAGGGGTTACTCTGGGCTTTGCACTCAGGCATTACTCCTGGTGGTGCTCAGGGGACCATGTGGGATGCTGGGAATCGAACCCGGGTCGGCTGTGTGCAAGGCAAACCCCCTACCCGCTGTACTATCACTCTAACCCGTTTTATTAATTTTTAATGAATCATCATGAGGTATAGTTACAGACTTACAAACTTTTGTGATTACGTTTCAGTCATACAATGATCGAGTGCCCATCCCTCCACCAGTGCCCATTCTCCACCACCAATGTTCCCAGTATCCCTCCCTATTGTTTGTCTTTTTGTTTCAGGGCCATACCTGGCTTTGCTCAAGGTTTACTCCTGACTATGCACACAAGGATTACACCTGACGAGAGTATTAGTTAAAAATCTTATTTTGTAATACTTTTACCAACAACTGTGATAAGCTTTGGATAATCTAGACTCAGGATGTTCCATACTGAGTTTTCCATTAACATTAAAATCACCTTTAAAAACTTTGGGTTGAGGGGCTGGAGTGACAGCATACCGGGTAGGGCGTTTGCCTCGCACGCGGCTGACCCGGGTTCGATTCCCAGCATCCCATATGGTCTCCTGAGCACTGCCAGGAGTGATTCCTGAGTTCAAAGCCAGGAGTAACCCCTGAGCATTGCCAGGTGTGACCCGAAAAGCAAAACAAAAAAAAAAACCTTTGGGTTGAGATCTATATGGAATTGAATTGAAGGCTCAGCAATAGTTTCCTCTGCCTGAGCTAATTAATAGCCCTGGAACTGAACGCCCTCCACCCCTCCAGGTAATGTGTGCTTTAGTCTCTTGCTATGTTAACTGCCTGCAAGTGTTTGCCATGACCAATGGGGCTCAGCGGCAAAGTGCTTCTTACACAGTCTTGATATTGGAAGAGGACAATTTAGGAATCTGAGACTTTCCTCAACAAAATGACGATGTGTGTATCTTTTTTTTCCTAGCCCTGAGATTTTATTATTATTTTTTTACTTTTTTATATATTTTTTCTTTTTTTATTAGTGAAACACCATGAGGTACAGTTATAGGCTTACACATTTTGTGCTTGGGTTTCAGTTATACAATGATCAAGTGCCCATCCCTCCACCAGTGCCCGTCATCCATCCCCACGGGTCCCAGCATCCCCCCCCCCCGTCCCATCCTGCCTCTGTGGCAGGGTATTCCCCCTTGTTCTCTCTCTCTTCTTTTGGGTACTGTGTTTTACAAGAAAGGCATTGAGTGGCAATCATGTTTGGTCTATAGACTACTTTTAGCATGCTTCTCCCACCCTGGGAGGGTCCTCACAACACCCTTCATTTGGTGCTCTCTTCTCTATCTGAGCTTCCTTTTCACCTAGAACGTGTGGCTGGCCTTCCATTCATGGAGCAAAATTCCTGGTACTAATCTCAGCCATTCCTGGGTGTTAGTCTCCCTTTTTGTTGCTTTATGTTCCCCAGATGAATGCAATCTTTCTGTGTCTATCCCGCTCTTTCTGACTCATTTCGCTTAACATGATACTTTCCATGTAGTACCACTTGTATGTAAATTTCATAACTTCATCTTTTCTAACAGCTACATAGTACTCCATTGTGTAAATGTACCAAAGTTTCTTTAACCAGTCATCTGTTCTTGGGCACTCAGGTTAAGCCTAGACCTAGAGGGATGGTCCTTGATTAGATAAGGAAATAGCAAGTCTGAAGAAAAAAAATGAACAGTACGAGACAAGAAACAGGAGAAAAGGCTAGTGAGGGTGCAGGGGTGGAGTGGAAGTTCCTCCCCACTGCGTTGGGTGCCCGTCAGGCTGACCTAGACATCCGAATGACATCAGTCAGATTAGTAGGAGAAAAAGGACAAAATTCATTGTGTGTATGTGGAAAATCAATGTGGTTACTAGTTCTAAAGGGAATGGGGTCAAAATGAAGGTTTCATCTTGAAGTAGGGAATAGAATGGAGAACTGGGACCTCAAGGAGAGGGCAGGGGGACTGCCATGATGAAGTGACCCTGTACTCTGGGACTAGAGGCTTGCCTTGCCACACAGACAGCTTTCACTCATAGCAACGCCATTTCTGGAGATCATGTAAATCTGAGCAATATACTCAATTTGCTTTCTGCTAGGTTAAGTGAGTGGTAAGCATATTTCTTGGGTTCACAGGGTCTCAATCAACCTCAGTTCAAAATAATCAGACTGCCACAATGAGAAGTCTCTGATGGGCCAATGAGACAGCACAGTGGGTAAAGCTCTTGCCTCCTACGTAGCCAACCTGGGTTCGATCCCCAGGACCACATCTGGTCTCCTGAGCTCCAGCAGGAGTGACCCCTGGGAAGAGAGCCGGGAGTGAGCCTTGGGTGCAGCTGGGTGTGATCCCAAATCAAAGGAACAAGCAAAGTGACTAGTCTTTGGTAGCCTATTTTACACAGGCTGGGGAGGTCTGTCCTTCAAGGACACAGACCAACAATGTCTCTATGGTATAGAGTGTGAGCCACAAGTAGGAACCATAGAGGCAAGTCTGTATTTTCTAATAGCCACGCTTTAAGTTATTATTGGTTTGGGGCCCATACTTGGTGGTGCTTGAGTGTTATTCCTGGCAGTGCTTAGGGAAGGAGGAGTGCTTGACTTAGCACTTCGGGATATTCTTGGCAGTGGGTAGGGAGCCACACAGTTCCTGGGATCAAACCCAGGCCACCTGCATGCAAAACCCCTTGAGCTTTCTCCCTAGTCCACTTCATGTTTTAAAAGGATAAATTAGGGGGCCAGAGCGATAGCACAGTGAGTAGGGCATTTGCCTTGCACGCGGCCGACCTGGGCTCGATCCCCAGCATCCTATATGGTCCCCCAAGCACCACCAGGAGTAATTCCTGAGTGCAGAGCCAGGAATAACCCCTAAGCATCGCTGGGTGTGACCCAAAAAGCAAAAAACAAAAACAAAAAAAAATAAATAAAAGGATAAATTATTATTTCACTTGTTAATTTTGGGCTGGAGCGATAGCACAGCGGTAGGGCGTTTGCCTTGCACGCAGCCAACATGGCCAACCCGAGTTCGATTCCTCCGCCCCTCTCGGAGAGCCCGGCAAGCTACCGAGAGTATCTCGCCCGCACGGCAGAGCCTGGCAAGCTCCCTGTGATGTATTCGATATGCCAAACACAGTAACAACAAAGTCTCCAATGGAGACGTTACTGGGCCCGCTTGAGCAAATCGACTATCAACGGGAGGGCCTTTACTTACTTACTTTACTTACTTACTTGTTAATTTTACTAATATAGTATATATAGATAAAATTAATTTTAGGAATGTACTTTATTTAACCCATTATATCTAAAATATTTTTTATAAACCTGAAATAAATAGGCAAATTATAAGTGAAATATTTTGTAGTCTTTGTTTTCTGCTAAGTCTTCAAAGTCCCTAGGTGTTTTACGTATGTCCGACATCTCAATGTAAACTAGCAACACTCGACACAGGGCTACCACGGTCCGTGGGTTGGTCTGGAGAGTGGTTGGAGTGAAACAGAAATAATAGTAGACAAAGGGCTGCTGAGTGCCATGTATTTGTCGAAGAAGGCTTGAACTGACCTTCGGAGCTGGGTAGGTCTTTTTCTGGAACAAACCTGCTTGCCTGCGTATAAGGCAAGGGTAGAGTCTTGGTATGGACTGTTTGATTTTCTCTATCATCAGCAGAATAAGTGTTAAGTACCTCCTTTGTACCTGGTACAAGTTCAGCCACAGCTGGAGAGAAAGGACAGGGTGCAGGTCCCACCAGCCGAGAGTTGACTCACGTCCTGGAACAGATAAAGCAAATACACATTATTTAAGGAATGACTGGGTGCTACCTGGTATGAGAGTGAATGCACTCTGCATTTGGAAGAAGAAAAAAATCTAAGTGACAGGAGAAAATGTCAGTACCAGATTCTGGGAAGACAGAATGGGGGCAAAGGGACAGAGAAGAGAAAAATCACCTAAGAAGACGGTATGAAGTCTGGGGTCTAAGGGTGCTAAACCGACTGGTGGTCATACACAAGGTGAAGGAAGAAATAATTTGGAAATAATTATTTTTGAGTTGGTAGTGCCCAGGGACTTCTGGTTCAGTGTTCAGGAGTTGTTCCCTGTGGTGCTGAAGATTGAACCCAGGCTTCCTGTGCTCCATGTATGCACACTGGCTTTTTGAGCTCTCTCTGCAGCCCTGCTCGGCAGATTTAAATCTTTGCTTTCTCTGCTAACAGTTTCTGGAAATGTGTTCACCCTCCATTCCTGGTGCAGAGAGAAAGGAGAATAGAAATGGGAAAATCCTGAGTTCTGGAGCAATATTACAGTGGGTAGAGCATTTGCCTTGTACAAGGCTGACCTGGATTTGATCCCTGACACTATAAAAAGGATAAATTATTATTTCACTTGTTAATTTTACTAATATGGTATATATAGATAAAATTAATTTTAGGAATATACTTTATTTAACCCATTATATCTAAAATATTATTTTTTAAACCTGAAATAAATAGGCAAATTATAAGTGAAATATTTTGTAGTCTTTGTTTTCTGCTAAGTCTTCAAAGTCCCTAGGTGTTTTACGTATGTCCGACATCTCAATGTAAACTAGCCACACTGGACACAGGGCTACCATGTGTCGTGGGTTTCCTGATCTGTCCCCCCAAGCTTTGCCAGGAGTAATCCCTGAGCACAGAGCCTGGAGTAAGCCTTGAGCACTGCTGGGTGTGACTCGCCCCCCTCCCCTAAAAAAACAACCAGGCAAAAAAGAAATGGGTATTTTCCTTAAAAATGTCTCTATATAAATTTCAGGAGTGTTTGCTCCATTTCTTTGAAGAATGTCATGGGTATCCTTACAGGGATTGCATTGAATTTGTACAGTGCTTTGGGAAGTATTGCCATTTTGACAATGTTGATTCTCCCCATCCATGAGCAGGAGATACTTTTCCATTTCCTCGTGTCCTCTTTTATTTCCTGAAGTAGCGTTTTGTAGTTTTCTTTGTACAGGTCCTTTACTTCCTTAGTTAAGCTGATTCCCAGGTACTTGATTTTCTGGGGCACAATTGTGAATGGGATTGTTTTCTTCATGTCACTTTCTTCTCTTTCCCTATTTGCGTATAGGAAAGCCATGGATTTTTGGGTATTGATTTTATAGCCTGCCACTTTACTATAGCTATTAGGAAAGATGAAGTTATGAAATTTACATACAAGTGGTACTACATGGAAAGTATCGTGTTAAGCGAAATGAGTCAAAAAGAGCGGGATAGACACAGAAAGATTGCATTCATCTGGGGAACATAAAGCAACAAAATGGGAGACTAACACCCAGGAGTGGCTGAGATTAGAACCAGGAATTTTGCTCCATGACTTGGAGGCCAGCCACACGTGCCAGGGGAAAAGGAAACTCAGGTAGAGAAGAGAGCACCAAATAAAGGGTGTTGGGAGAATCCTCCCAGGATGGGAGAAGCATGCTGAAAGTAGACTCTAGACCGAACATGATTGCCACTCAATGCCTCTTTTGCAAACCACAGGACCCAAAAGGAGAGAGAGAACAAAAGGGAATGCCCTGCCACAGAGGCAGGGTGGGATGGGGGGGATGGGTGGTGGGAGGGATACTGGGATCAGTGGTGGTGGAGAATGGGCACTGGTGGAGGGATGGGTACTTGATCATTGTATAACTGAAACCCAAGTACAAAAATGTGTAAGTCTATAACTGTACCTCATGGTGTTTCACTAATAAAAAAATAAATTTAAAAAATTTTAAAAAATGTCTCTAACAAGAGTAACTTCTACTATTTTTAGATTTTCTAATTCTGCTGTTTCTGAAAAAAATGATAGTGTAAAATAATCTTTATGCCAAAGAGGCATATTCTGGCATAGTAAATTTTGCTTCCCTGCATCTTTATCTTTCGTAATGGGGAATTGTTAAAAATTGTCTGAAGTTAATAAATCAAGATATTACTGTTCAAACATTATTTAATGCTAGGAAGTTATTTACCAGAAAATCAGAAATACTAAAATTTTTTTTTAAAAAAAAACCCTTGCTTCTAGACTCGGTGGCAAAGTAAACTGAGGCACTGGAGCAGTCCGCAGGTGCCCTTATCTACACTGTCCTCTGCTGAAGCAGTTCTGTAGCCCCCTGGTGACTGGATCTTAAGACTTTCTTCTGAGAAGGAAGACTAGGCTAATTTATATAATAAAGTAGGGATCAAGGGGCTGGAGCGATAATACAGCGGGTAGGGTGTTTGCCTTGCGTAAAGCCGGCCCAGGTTCGATTCCCAGCATCCCATATGGTCCCCTGAGCACCACCAGGAGTAATTCCTGAGTGCAAAGCCAGGAGTAACCCCTGTGCATTTCCGGGTGTGGAAAAAAAATAGGGATCAAATGCAAAGTGTACAGTAATGAGAGAAAAAAATTGAAAAAGTATACTTTCCAAAATGATGAGTTAAACCAATGGGAGCACTTTAAGAAAGTCGCATCAAGAGCATATGGTAAGCTAGGGGTAGTTAAATCCTTATCATTTGTAATGGGGAATTGTTAAAAATTGTCTGAAGTTAATAAGTCAAGAAATTACTGTTCAAACATTATGTAATACTAGGAAGTTATTTACCAGAAAATCAGAAAAATAAAAAATTTAAACAGCAAAAAGAGAAACCTTGCTTCTAGAGATAAGAGTAGAGTTTAAAAAGATGGTATCAGAAATCTTGGGTTTTTTCATTTTAAATTCTTCCGTAGTATTTGATTTTTATTCTGAGCATGTATTGCTTGGAAAGTTTTTAATAAACTCTGATAAAAGTTAAAAGGAGGGCCTGAAGGGATAGTACAGCAGGTAAGGGGTTTGCCTTGTACATGGCTGACCCAGGTTTGATTCCCAGCATCCCATATGGTCCCCTGAGCACTGCCAGGAGTAATTCCTGAGTGCAAAGCCAGGAGTATCCCCTGAGCATTGCTGGGTATGACCAAAAAAGCAAAAAAAAAAAAACAACCAAACAAAAAGTCAAAAGGAAAAAGACTTTCTGCTTGTGTGAGGCTGGGACGGGCTATTCACAAAGGGAAACTCGAGGAGGGGGGTGGTGAACCCTGATGGCAAGTGCCCTGGTAACAGCCCTAATATGCTTTTCCCAGTGCATCCACTATGGGAGAGCGTGGACTTGGTTCCCGCAGGTGACCGCCAGTCACCCATCAACATCCGGTGGAGGGACAGTGTCTACGATCCAGGCTTGAAGCCCCTCACCATTTCTTATGATCCGACTACCTGCCTGCACATCTGGAACAATGGCTATTCCTTCCTTGTGGAATTTGAAGACTCTTCAGACAAATCAGGTGAGGCCGGCCTCGTGGGCATGCTGGGCACTACAGAGATGGTTTCATGTCAGGATAGCTCACATCGCACTTGCCTGCAGAGAACCAAGGGCCTCTTGTTAGCCTGGACCTCAGCAGGCCTGTTGTTTCAACATGTGACAATGTGCCTTTTAGTTTTTAATGCATATTTTTCTTCTAAAGGCCTAGGTAGCCATTGTTTTAAGAAACGAATACAGGGGCTGGAGTGATAGCCCAGTGGGTAGGGCTTTTGCCTTGCATGTGGCCAACCCAGGTTCGATTCCCAGCATCCCATATGGTCCCCAGAGCACCGCCAGGAGTAATTCCTGAGTGCAGAGCCAGGAGTAACCCCTGTGCATCGCCGGGTAACCCAAAAAGCAAAATAAAAGAAAAAAAGAAACAAATACAGATCTTATATCATCTATAATGACTTTAAATTTAGGGTATGACATTAAGTTTTTCTGGAGGTTTTATGTGAATATTTAATACATACTCTGCTGGCTTTACAAGACGTTTTTGTGATTTGTTTTTGTTTGGTTTTCGCCACATCCAGCCATGCTCAGGACATTACTCCTGGCTCAGTGATCAGGGGTGACTCCTGGACTCCAATGGTGCTTGAGGGACCATATATGGTGCTAGGAATTAAACCGGGGCTGGCTGCATATATGGCAAGTCCCTGTATTAGCTTTCTAGCCACGACAAGATATTTTATTTCAAATATTAGTACTGTTTAATAATTTTTAGCTAACTGGTTTATAATGCATTTGATTGGGGGGGGCATACCTGAAAGTGCTCAGAGGCTATTACTGGCTCAGTGCTCAGGGTTAGTCCAAGAAGTTTTTCAGGGACTAACTACAGTGCCAGGGATCAAACTTGGGTCTTTTTCATGTAAGTATGCACCTCGCCTGTTGAGGTACTTCACCGGCCCAGACTGAGCTACAATTGAGATGGGACAAAAAAAGAATATTCAGCAGTACGTGAGATTAGTTTTAACAGTAGTCAAATCTTAGAAAAGTAGAATTTCATACTCTGTTTTAACAAATTTTGTTCATTGTTACCTGGTCTAAAAGAAACACAATTTAAAGGACTTTTCCACTCAAATATTAGATTGCTTCGGAATTATCTTCCATTTTTTTTTTCATCTTACCCAGATAGAACTGTTGAGGAGAAGAGGGAATTTCTGCCTACCTCCCAGAGTTTCTTCTCAGGCTAGTTGAGAAGTCAAATTAATGCCAGACCGATTAGCAGAAGAAAACAACCAATTTAATTGGATGTGGAGAATCTGCTACTGGTAGATGTATATTCTAAAGTCAATGTATGTGTGGGAGGGGTGGGAGGATGAGTTAATATCCTGAGCTAAGGAACACAATAGGGGTCTGGGACTCCAAGGAGAGAGGAGGGGGTCACCACGATGAGAGAGGGGCTTAAGACAAAGATCCATCTCCGTAATGAGATGTTGGCTCTGCAGTATAGATAGGTCTTCTAGATAAAAAGATTATTTTTGGTTTAAAAAAACCTCAAACCTTAATTCTGGGTAATACTCCCAATTTGCATTCTTATTGGGAGTTAAGAGAGTGTTGTCAGTTCTGATGATACTATGGGGCCTTGATTAATCTCAGCTTGAAATAAGCCACATGCCAAAATGACATGTCTTGGGAAGACCTGTTCTACACGGCTTATCCTTCAAAATTCACCTGAGTGATTTAAAGTTTACTTGCAAGTTGTGGTTTCTATTAAACGGGTGTGCTGGAGTGATAGCACAGCGGTAAGAGTTTGCCTTGCGCGCAGCCAGCCCGGCTGAGCCGGGTTCAATTCCTCCGCCCCTCTCAGAGAGCCCGGCAAGCTACCGAGAGTATCTCACCAGCACAGTAAAATCTGTCAAGCTACCCGTGACGTATTCAATATGCCAAACACAGTAACAACAAGTCTCAAAATGGAGACGTTACTGGGCCCGCTCGAGCAAATCGATGAACAACGGGAGGACAGTGACAGTGACAGTGACAGTGTGGTTTCTATTAAAAATAGAATTTCCTTGGGGGCTGGAGCAATAGCACAGTGGCACAATAGCAATTGCATGTGGTTGACTCTGGTTCGATCCCCAGAATCCCATATGATTGATCCCCTGAGCACCGCCAGGCGTAATTCCTGAGTGCAGAGCCAGGAGTGACCCCTGTGCATTGCCGATTGTGACCCAAAAAGCAATAAAATAAAATCATAATAAAATAAAATAAAAATAGAATGTCCTTAATTCTACACTCCTCCCTCCCTCCCTCCCTCCCTCCCTCCCTCCTTCCAGTCTCATAAAAGCAGCACATAAAGGCAAGTGCTTTACTACTGGCCATCTAAGCAGGTTTTTCCCTTCCTCCTTCTCACCCTCCCTCTCTCCCTTCCTTCCTTGTTTAATTTTGTTTTCTATAGTTTGTTCTTTTTAAAAAAAAACAAATTTTATGGTAACCAATAGGACTAATTAGTCTGAAATAATTATTTGAAATGTTGTAATGGAGATCGGTCTCTTTCATATAAGGCTAATTTCCTAGGAGGTACTGTGGGCACTAAGTGGAGGTAGCTTTTGATAAGAGACATTTATAAGGAGCCTCCTCCTATACTAGGAGACCTGACTTCTGTTTTATTTTTCTTGCAGTTCGAGATATCAAACCCAGATTTCATGCTTGCAAGGCATTTGTGTTCCCTCTGAGCCATATCCCTGGCCTTAGACCTAATCTTCTGAACTTTTACCTGAAGCCTCAATCTCTTTAACTCTCCCTAGTGGAGAAGGCAGCAACTTCAGTCTGAGTACAGTCATACTTTTGTTGACTTCCCGGTAACTCACTATTGCCTTCCCTTTTGCTCCTTTCCACAACATCCTTGATTTTTAGCTGAAAGCATTTAAGGAGGTGACTTAAACCATTTGGATGAATTACTCGGTTTTGCCAGTTTTCTCCAAGTATAGAGGACAGATACATGTTATAAAACTTTTTCCGCTCTTGTCAGCTTGATACTAATTTGATAATTTGCTGGCTTAGAGAAACCAAGATGGGGACTGATCTGTAGTGAGCAAGTAGGGTGCCTGCCTTGCGCACAGCTGACTGGAATTCTGTCCTCCGCATCCTCTACGGTTCCATGAGCCCTGACAGGAGTGATCCCTAGGGAGCACAGAGCTAGGAGTACACCTTAAGCCCCCTCCCATAAAAAGCATGAGAGAAGGAGGATCAATCATTATTTGTCTCTTACATATATTAATGAATTGTTCTCAACCAGTTGCCATTTTGCCATCCCTTTTTTCCAGGGACTGGATGAATACCCTTGGCAACATCAATAGGCATTTTTGTTTCCATATCTCCTATCCCCCCTCCTCCTCCCCCCTGCCCCCCCCCCCCCCCCGTGGTAGTCGTGTGACTGACATCTAGTGGAGCAAGGCCAGAAATGCTGCTTAAAACCTTAAATCACACAGGCTAATTCACAAAGAATTATCAAGCGTCAAATAGCAGGGCTGAGATTGAGAAATCCTGCTCTAAAGGGACTTCCTTTTCCTGTTATGAGTATGACGCAATGTTTCTGTGGAAGTGCTAAGTAAAAAGTGTAACTTAAATCCTAAGTAGAATTGTGTACGCCTCTATATATGCTGGCGGTAAGATTCTCAAGTGTGTCTTGATTTTCTTTGCCTTTTCCTAGTGTTGCTTTGATACTTATATTTGAGTTCCGGACCCACCTGCAAACAGACTGCTCCTCCCATGGATTAATCTCTCTCTGTGGTTCTTTTTCCCTCTGACATTCTTCTCTGCTGTGACTCAGGTAGTATTTAATTTCTGTCCATAAGGATTTAGGTGTCTCATTTTTCTTTCTTCTCCATGAGACGATACAGTCCCCAAACACTGACCACCATATAGATGTCAAATTAAGGAGAGATCACCCCTTTTCTTCCCAGATTAGTAAATCTTTTTCTAAATTTTTCTGGAACCCGGGATTAAAAAAAAAAGAGTATGCTTTCGTTTGGAGGCCTAGACAATGATATCATGTGTAAGGATTCCACAAATCTTCAATAGAGCAAGCTAACTTTCTGTATTCCAGATGACCATCTTGCAGGATGGTGAGATCTATTTGTCTTCCTTAGAGCTCTATCATTATTCCTACCAAAACAATACTAATGAGCAGACCTAACCTATTGAACACCAACTTTCTCTGGATGCATAGCAGTTCTCTCAATTAATTCATCTCAATTAGTCCCAGTCCAAAGTAGACCTTGATAGTCTAGGAACTGTTGCCAATGTACTATTACTTCGTTGAGTTGAAATTTTTAGGAAGTCTTCAAATTTGGGGGGGTGGGCCATTCAGGGCTTACTCTTGGCTCTGTTCTCAGGGATCACTCCTGGCTGGCATCAGGGACTTTATATGTTTCCAGAGATCAAACCCAGGTTGGCTACCTGCAAGGCAAGTGCCTTACCCACTGTACTATTGCTCCGGCCCCTTGAGTGGGTTTCTTAAATGAGTTAATCCCAAACTCATGCAATACTTTTGATTTGATTTTTAAGTCATTCTAAAAATTTGAACTCTATGAAGAATGAGTTTGCACCCATTTACATGGCCAATATAACAGAAAACAAATGGCCACATTTTCCTCATAGTAGCTCTTAGTCTACCTCTCTATGAACACAATAAAGTGAGTCGCTGACTTCCCTTTCTTAACAGTCACTAACTTCACTCTCCTAGGTGGCAAAGTGTTCAAAATATGTATATGTATAGTTTTTACTGACTAGACAAGAAAAATCGTAGAGACTTATCTTGTTAGAAGGATCAAAATAGTCACCTTTCGTTATGCTCTAATAATTACTTTTTGTAAAGAGTAACAGTTAATAAGGATGAATTATATTGTTTTTTAAAGTATCTAACTTTCTCTCTTTCCCCCAAATTTCAGTGACTGCTTCCTATTTCCTGCTTATTCTTCACAGATATTTCTCCGTGCTTTAATAATCAGTAGCATTTAAAGAGAAAGAATAGGTGAAATAATAGTTTAGAAATGGAAAAGGAAAGCCACTCCAGAACTAAAGTCTAGAAAATATCCTAAATTTAGGAAATATCTAATAAATATCAGCTTAGAAACACTTAATGCAAAATGCTCTATAGTGTTCTTTACAAAGATCTGGAATAATATATTAGTAAAGGCCTGGGGAATGCCATGTAACCAAAACAAGATATACTGAACTATATGGGATGCAGCTAACACAGTGCTTAGAGGGAACTGTATATATGAAGATGCCTGTATTGAAGAAGAAATTTTTCCAATCAGTAGTTTTTCAGCCTAAGAAACTATGAAGTCAAGAAAGAGCAAACTAAACCTTACATAAACAGAAAGGACACAAGGAGCAGTGTAGAAATGAGTAAAATAACAAAGTTTGTTCTTAGAAATAGCAATAAAATTGGCAAGCCTTTAGCTAAGAGACAAAGACAAAATAGGAGAAGACTCAAATTGCTCAAATAAGAAATGAAAGAAGGGATGTCGCCACCAGAAATTACAAAGATAATAAGAGAAGGTATGTGAGTATCTCAAATCACCGCTCTCTGCTGGGTATTGCTTTGTTATTTACCTCTGAATAGGACACAATTTTTTATTAATTTATTTTATTTAGGTGTGAAGGTCATACATTGCAGTGTTCTGGGCTTACTTCCAGCTTAGTGCACTGCTGGAAAGTGAACCCAGGGTCCTTTATGCAAAGCGTGTGTTCCTGCCCATCAAGCTATCTCCACAGCCCTATTTTATTTTATTTTATTTTATTTTATTTTATTTTATTTTATTTTATTGTCTGATTTGGGGGCCACATGTGGTGGGGCTCAAGGGCTACACCCGGGTTTGTGATTAGGGGTCATTCTCAGTGGTGCTCAGGGTATCATGCACCATGGGGATCAGTCCTGGGCCTCCTGCATACAAAACATGCACCCCAGCCCCCCAGTTGTTGATCTAAATAAATGCATGGGAGAAAATAAGAATATTGGGAGGGGCACTTAGTTCTGCCTCGGCCAAGTCCCAGAGATTTTCACTTTTCCTAAAATTACTCACACAGTGATAAATCAAAGAGGAAGGATGAATCATATTGTTTTTCCTTTTTTGGGGGGGGGGCGGGCTGTGGTCAACACCTTGCGAAACTCAGGGCTTACTGCTAACTGCACCCAGGCATCATGTCCTGGAGATGTTTGGGGGACTATATGGGTGCCATGGATTGAACCCAGGTCTGCCACATGCAAGGCAAGCACTTTGCCCACTGTACTATCTCTCGGGCCCCCCTGTTTTTTTTGAAGGTGCTTCTTGCCCCATGTTGCCTTGCTTACTTTGTAATTCTGCAGGTATCACCAATGAATCCGCTAAGATTGCTTTGCTTTTACAAACACGTTTAAGTTTTTCCCTATTTGGGATCTATCTTTGAGAAAACAACGTAATGATTTTTTATAAAAATTAGAGAGCCACACCTGGAAGTACTCAGGGGTTACTCCTGACTCTATGCTCAGGAATCACTCTTAGTGGGCTTGAGGGATCATATGGGATGCTGGGGATTGAGCGTGCAAGGCAAGAGCCTTACCTGCAATATTATCTCAAGTCCTGATTTTTAATAAATTTAATAGAGATGCTTAAGCATAAATATAACTCAATTTTAGTACATTTATGTCATCCTAAAAATTAGTATGCCCACTTTCTGCATTTTTATTTGCCTTTCCCTTTCTCTCCATCACTCCTTCCTCTTGTTCTCTCGTCTCCATATTAAAAGTGAAAGACAGGGCAAACATTTCATAGATTATTAGAGCTTACTATAAACCCAAATGTATACTAGTTATTTTGTACTTAGCTTTTTTTCATAAGTTCAATACTTTCTCATCTTAAGAAATGGGAAGAAAAAACTATCTAAAATCCAGCAGCACCTATTTCTTTGATGTATCTTATGATTGCCCTTTGTCTCCTGTCTCCCTTCCCTGCCCTATTTCTGAAGAACTGTACTTCTCCCTCTCATTCACTCGCCTGCCCTACATGACTACGCCCTATTCCTCCCTCTTGCTGAGGTTACCACTGGTATTTCAATTAAACCCACAGGCGTTTCTCACTCTTTACTTCCTGGTGTCATTCAAGAAGACTTAGTAAAGTGCTAGGCATTGTGCCAGTCGCTCTGAATAGAACAAGGAAGAAGGAGCTTGTAGTCGGGTAGGGAGAGAAATTCTTGAAGAGATAGAGTTTCTGCAGTGCTCAGTACTACTATGAAGGAAGTGTCCACATCATCGTTGGGGCCGGGGATGGCCCCTCGGGTGGCCCATGCAGAAGTGGGGGTGTGCGGAGTATGATGCTTGAATTAGGTGTGTAAAGTGCAGGAGGGAAGTGGAAGAGCAGGAAGTCCTGAGATAGGCAAAAGCTGAGTCAGAGTTTTACAGACTGTGCTCAGAGGCTGGGGTCTGGGTGACGGTCTGCTGGGGAATGCTTGCTGTGAGTCTCTCACTGCGTTGAGACCAATGTGTGAACAGTGGTTGGGCGTCATCTCACGGATCCTCTTCCAAACGGACTCAGGTGGCCTTTGCTGGGATTCAGTTTCTCTCCTGACCTTCATTACTTGCCAGCTGTTGGTAAGAGGCCACTCTTACTTCCTTATGAAGTGGGCCTCTCCACAAGGCAGCTCAAAACATGGCAACCGACTTCGCAGAGCCAGCAAGCAAGAGATGGCAATCAAGATAGAAAACAGTATCTTCTTATAACCCAGTCTCCAAAATGACGCTCCATTCCCCGCATCCCAGAGATGTCACTGGCATTGTCTTCCACGAGGAGACAAACACTGGTCCTCTCTTTTGTCCTATTCACTTTACTTGGGACCATAACTTCAATTTCATTTGACAGAAGAGATTTAATATTGCCAAAGTCATGCTCATAATATGGAGCTGGCACAGCAAAATAAATTTAAAATTTTGAAAGACATTTTATTTTTCTACATATTGTTTTATTTAGTGGGGGCACATCCATGGCACATTCCTGGCTCTGCGTTCAGGGATCACTGCTAGCAGTGCTCAGGGTACCATATAGGGTGTCAGGGATCGAACCTGGGTCAGCCACATGCAGGACAAACACCCACCCGTTGAACTATGCCTCCAAGTCCAATTTTTCTAAATGTTTTAGAAGAATTTTTCTTTTAATTTTCCATCTTAGTGAATGGAGTATGTGGTGTTATTCTCTGCATCTTTCTTGCTAGGGAAGAAGGGGTCATTGGTGTCTTCACTTATCTCCCACAAAAACTCTTTTTTGAAGAAGAAATTGTATATAATATTTTGTTTTTATATATAATATTTTGAAAGTCAGTAAGATACATAGCCAACTGATCCTTGGGATGGCTATATTCCATGATTGGCATATCTAAAATTCAACTTATGATGCAGTAAGCACTAAAAATCATTGAGATGGATGAGACAAATAAATGTTGTGTTGTTGCATTGACTTCATCATTACTTGAGTTGGATGGAAGGGAAAACTACTTACTATGCTTTAGCAAATTCATGCAAAGACAAAACTCAATACTAACTCAAAGTCTGCGGGGAGTGGAGTGTTATAAAATTTGTCCCATAGATATTTTACCCATTGTCTGTTAAATTCAATAGTTTACCCACTGTCTGTTGATTTCAATAGTTCCAGGAACTCTAGTCAAAACGAATGGCATTTGTGATCCAGCACTGTGAGGCTGGTGAAACCCGAGTGGTTCCCATGTGACTTGCTCTGTCCAACAGGGGATGGCTGAGCATTTTTGATTTGCCAAGTGTCAATTCCATTTTACAGGCATCTTCAAAAATTGAAAAGCAAAGTAGCAATACATATTTTTAAAAGCAACAGAATATCTTCAGTCCCTATATTTCAGTTTCATGAGATCCGGTGGATAAATACGCCAACAGAAATTTTATTTTATTGCACTTCAAAATGGCACAGTAAACACAGACTATAAAAAATAAGTCAAGAATTGGCCTTGAACCATGACATGTAGCTTGGAGTAAAGTTAAATCTTAGTGGCAGACAGCACACAGGTCTTGCCCTTACACTTCTGTTAACTGCATGGAAGTCAAGGTGGTAAACACTTCTCTATTTTATGATGTGTTCCACTTGAGAATGGTTGCACAGTTCATATTCAAGGTCCACCCTTGAATTCCACCTCCCGCTCCTGTCCCCCCTCCACATTCCTGCACAACATAAGAAACTTCCCTGAATTGTTGAATGTGCCATTTCAGTGATCGAGGGAGGACCCCTGGAAGACCACTATCGGCTGAAGCAATTCCATTTTCACTGGGGGGCCATTGATGCCTGGGGCTCCGAGCATACCGTGGACAGCAAATGTTACCCAGCAGAGGTATGTTGAGAGCTCCGCATGCTGATGACCAGGGGGACATCGGGGTGCTTCTGGTACTCTAGTTCTAAGAAATGACAAGAAGTATCAGGTGATGCCTGTAAGTGCTGAGTAGCTGGGCGGAGGGTTGGGTTAGTCCCAGCTTATGTGGATGACAATGAGAACTTCCTTGGTCTCAGATAATAGATCAGAGATGCTCTTCACATCCTGAAATGAAATCTTTCCAATCTGCTAAACTAGGCTTCAGTTGAGTACCTAACATTACAACCCCAAATAATGTAGTTCTCCAGGTGGAATGAATCCAAGGGAGAGAAGATGGGAGCCCAAATGAAGGTTCTGGAGATGGAAATAGAAAATGTAAGATTGGGTCCAAGAACTCGTACAGCAAGCAAGTCTCTTGCCCAGCATGCTGCCAAGCTGGGTTGAATCCCTGGCACCACATACCAGTGCCCTGCCAGGAATAATCCCTGATTACAGAGCCTGGGATAAGCTCTGAGCACTGCTGCATGGGTCTAAAATCCAAAACAAGGTATAAATTTAACAAGATTTCTGAAGGGAAAGCAACAAGACTTAGAGATGAGGTCTCTACAGGAGAGGGCAGGACAGGAGAGGGAGGAGTTGGCCATAATCTTGCCCATCTCACCTGGGAGGCTGGGTGATATTATCTTCTTGAATGATGGATGAGGCATTTGTAGCTAAATCAAGGGAGTGCATAAGGAAAAAGAAGTCATGTTTACAACTTTACTTGTTTTTCCATTTTAAATGTTACCTTAAAAGACACATTCTGTGTGGTCATCCTCCCAAGAAATTTTTCAAGTCCTGTCCAATTTCCATAGGAAATATCTATTTCTCTCCCTATATATCTCTCCTTTAGATACCAATAGATTGTGGATTTGAGCGTTTGGTACAAACCAGGATACAATAGACAAATAGCACTACCTCATTGAAATGTTACTCATATCAGAGCTGGAGTGATAGTCCCAGTGGGTAGGGTGCTTGCCTTGCATGCTGCTGACCCGGGTTCAATCTCCAGCATCCCATGTGGTCCCCTAAGCAGGGCCAGGAGTCATTCCTGAAAACAGTGTAGATTAACCTGTTTGGATCACCAGGTGTGCCCCCCTCAAAGGAACAAAAACAACAAAGGAAACATTACTGACTTTACTATATAGTTTTGTTTATTTTGTCTCCTGAGAGAACCCTCTGTTCCAAAGTAACATTCAGGGCAGCTCCTGCATACATTTCTCTCTCTCTATTATTATTTCTGCCTTGCTTTCCACCAGATTGTTGTTTGCCTTTCAAAAGCTTCAGTGGATTTACTTTGTGGAAACATGTTAAAATATCACATGTTGAAGAAGGCCAGCTGTTTGTTTTGGCGTGATCCTATGCTCATGTCTTAAACCCTCTTTTATTGGTATTGCAGCTGCACCTGGTACATTGGAATGCAGTCAAATTTGAAAATTTCGAGGATGCAGCCCTGGAGGAAAATGGTTTGGCTGTAATAGGGGTATTTTTAAAGGTAAATGAAAGAAACATTTAGCAACTTCAAATATTGTGTGATATTTCGGGATGAAAAGATACAACGTGATCATCTTAAATTCAAAGAATATTGGATAAGAACAAATAATGGTCAACATACAGGAATGTTTTGAACGGTATAAAAACGCACAGTCATAGGACCTGGGCTGGAGCTTCGTGGTAGTGCTCGTTGCCTCACATATTTGAATCCCTTGGTTCAGTCCCACCACCATGAGGGAAATAAAAGTACAGCCAGTGGGGTGATCACAAACCACTTGAAATATCGCTACTTACACTGTAAACCAATTTCTTGGTATTAGTTCATGCAGCGTTAGATCTAAAAGCTGATAGTTACACGGAATCTGGGGCACCTCTCCCTGCAAGCACCCTGACCCCTTCAGCAAACAGCCTGCTCATTAGTCCTTGTCTAATTGAATACTCTTAAGTCACTAATTTAAGTGCATTTTATTGTGGTTTGTTTTTCAGTAATCACCAGGTGATCAATTTGCGTGTACATTCAATTATACTTTGTATAGTGATAGACCCTCTGGTTTTCTTTTTCAGTTAGGAAAACATCACAGAGAGCTGCAGGAATTGGTGAACGCTTTGCCATCCATTAAACATAAGGTAATATTTCTTTTACTCAATTGCCTGCATCGTCTTTTCTGTCTCCAGCTCAGAGCGGGACACTAACAGGGCACTTTGGGCCATGGAGTGTAATTCAAGTGTACTGTTTCCAGGGGCTTCAAGAGCGTTGTCTTAGGGCAAGGGTCCCTAAGGATGCTTGGGGAGTGAGGCCCCGAACCTGTGGCACATCGTGGGGACAGAGGGATCCCCTTTAGTGGGCCCCGGTTTATCCTCGGCCCATTGCCATGTCACTGCGCACGGAGGCCACTTCATAGTGTCAGTCTGACCCTGCTCCGTTGAAGTCCCCGTGAAAAAAATGGTCAGACAGACATTTGTTATTCTGTGTTCAGAATCCCCAAGGGGCGGCGCCTTTAGGAGCACACACACACACACACACACACACACACACACACACACACATTCACACCATGTAGTATGTCTCCCTCTCCTGCCTCTTCCAGCTCCCTCTTTTCCATCCCCCTTTCCCTGAGTCCAAGCTCCTCATTTGCATCGCAGTTTAGAGAGGAGAATTCTATAAATCTCTCCTGGAAAAGGAGGCTTCTTGTTCCTGCAGCTCTTCATACCACTTCCTGTCTCCCCCACCAAGTTCACCTGGTGTCAGCTCAGCAGCGCATGGGAGGAAGAAGCATGCTGCTTTGCTCCCACTGAGGAGTTGGAGACGGACAGAGAGACAGACAAACACACACACACACACACAGAGGAAACACAAGAACGACCCAGTGTGATTCTGTCCTGAGAAGCTCAGACCGTCCTAGAAGTCCCCTTGCTGGTCCCCAGATAGCCCCAGAACGTCATTTTCTGGTCCCATGTGATTATCACCCCTACTTGCTGACCTGGTGGCCCTTCTCTTGGCCAGGATACTCTTGTGAAGTTACGCTCATTCGACCCTTCCTGCCTGATGCCATCCTGCCCGGATTACTGGACCTACTCGGGGTCCCTGACGACCCCACCGCTTTCTGAGTCTGTCACCTGGATCATTAAGAAACAGCCTGTAGAGGTCGACCATGATCAGGTAAATTCTTTCCACACGTTTCCCTCTAAGGAAAGTCTAGTCTGAAACTTCGGTGTCAGTTTAAGCATCATGTAATGCTCATCTCTGTTTTTGCGGGGTGCCACACCCGGCAGTGCTCAGGGCTTACTCCTTAGTCTACACTCAGGGAACCAAGTGGGGTGCCTGGGATCGAACCTGGGTTGGCTGGATTAAGGCCCACTGTACACTCTGCCCAAGGTACAACCTCTCCAGCCCCTGGTTATCTATTTTTATCAAAATGTGCTAACATTTAAATGAGTAGCACTGCACTGTAGCACTGTCCTCCCATTGCTCAGCGATTTGCTCGAGCGGGCACCAGTAGCATCTCTATTGTGAGACTTTTTACTGTTTTGAGCATATTGAATATATCGTAGGTAGCTTGCCAGGCTTTGCCCTGTGGGCGGGATACTCTCGGTAGCTTGCTGGGCTCTTGTGGATATGAATTAGGAAATGCTTCAAATTAATCAAAGAGTTAAAACTGAGGAACCATAAGCTTTTTTTGCTTTTTTTTATTGAATCACTGTGAGCTACAGTTCCAAAGCTTTCATGTTTGAGTTTCAGTCATACGATGATCGAACACCCATCCCTCCACCAGTGCACATTTTCCACCACCAATGTCCCCAGTAACCCCCCACCCCGCTTTTCACCCCTATTTCCCCTATATTCTTTCTCTAATTTTGCGCATTATGAACCATAGGCCCTCCCGTTGATCGTCGATTTGCTCGAGCGGGCCCAGTAACGTCTCCATTGGAGACTTTGTTGTTACTGTGTCTGGCATATCTAACCATAAGCTTTTTGTGTCCACTTTGGACTATGACATATTTTGTGCACCAATTCCTATGTAAATATGAAGCTCTGTATAAATATGATTCTCGTATATAAATATGAAACTATATAAACACAATTTCATTTTGGTTGAAAAATTTTGAGGGTTTTGGGTCACACCTCAGGGACTACTTCCTAACTCAGTGCTTGGGGCTCTCTCCCAGAGGTCTTGGGGGGCCATGCAGTGCTGGGGACGAACCTAGGCCTCCTACATGCGGAAGTAGAACTCCTCCCACACGCAGCTCCTCTGAGCCTTGTGTGTGTGCGTGCGTGTGTGCAGTGTGGTTTGGGGGCCATCTTCAGCAGTACTCAGGCTTCTCCCAGCTCTGTGCTTGGGCTGTCTCCCATCTGTACTGCTGCAGGCAAAGCATGTGTGCATCTGTCGTATCTCCCTCCCCTCGGCACAAGGCCCTGTGAAATGGGAAGGATGGAGATTTAGCAAGGGATATGTGCAAAGCCCTTTCAGTTCCTTAAGGGGATTTTGCTCTGGAATCTCAGAATAAAGCCAGAGCCTAACACTGTGTATCAGAAATTTTAAGTCAGTGGATTTAAACTTAGGGGTTTTCCCCCTTAGGAAATACATTTGATTGATGTTTTTAATGTTAATATACAGAATCTTGTTTAATTCATATTAGAAAAGAACCACAGAAGTTGTTGTTTATAATTGCTTTATGGAAGTTTTTGGTTGGATTGGTGGCGGGACGGGATGGGGGTTCACACCCATTTTAGTGATCAAGGGCTACTCCAGGCTTGGTGCTTATGAGTTGTTCCAACAGTTCTTGGTGGACCATGTGGTGCTACTTCTAAACTCAGGTGGCAAAATCAGAGGAGCATAAATAGCCTAGGAAAATTCTGAAACAGAAAATGAGTGCCAATAGGACCCACTGAGCTGTACGGCCTCAATAACTAAGTAATGGGGTGCTAGCACACAGAGACCAATCAAGGGAAGAAAATCAGAACTATTGGGACTTTAGCAATAGCACAGCAGGTAGGGCATTTGCCTTGCACGCGGCTGACTCGGGTTTGATTCCCAGCATCCCATATGGTCCCCCGAGCACCGCCAGGAGTAATTCCTAAGTACAGAGCCAGAAATAGAAATAACCTCTGTATATCACCGGGTATGACCCAGAAAGCAAAAAGAAAAAGAAAGAAAGAAAGGAAGGAAGGAAGGAAGGAAGGAAGGAAGGAAGGAAAGAAGGAAGGAAGGAAGGAAGGAAAACCAGAACTATGTCCAAATAAAAATGAGAATTGAGTTGATGATAATATAGCATCTCAGCACAGTGGGATAAATGACGTTGTATCAACTGTTCAGACCTTATACAAGTATATATTCCAGGGTTATTCATTGTTTTTTTTTTTTGAAATAGCTACAAATCTACAAAGCTAGGCATAGGGAAACCTTTACATATCTCCAAACGGAGCAAACTTTATAACTATGGTATATGGCAAAACAGAAGTCATAAGCAAAACAGCAAGTAAATTAGACTAGATTTTAAACTATTCTGTGATGAAGCCTTTTAACACAAAGGACAATGAGTAACACAGAGTATGACTGCATGTAAGTCTGAACTTGGTCACCTATTTTATTAGTCTACTACTGTCCTCCATATTAAAAATTAACATGACACTCTAAAGCAAATAAGTATAAGAAGTGAGGACTTTCACATCTCAACAAAGAAATTCAACACGAAAGAACACGTTGGCTGTCATCTATAGTACCAATCACCTCTAAGCTTACTTACCACTGATGGGACTTGCAGGTAAATCCTATTGTCATTGTTTCACATTGACACACATGAATCCTTCTAGCCATTTATCTATATAAAAATACATTGTCTGGGGGCTGGAGAGATAGTGCAGGGATTAAGTTACTTGCTTTAACCCCAGTTTAATCCCTGGCACTGCATATGGTCCCCCAGCAGGACCAGGAATAATTCCTGAGTACAGAGCCAGGAATCAGCCCTGAGCACTCCTTAAACCCCAAAATAGATAAAGGTACATCATCTGTTTCAGCCAAATGGAATGATTCCATACCTCCCATTTTGCTACTCTTGTCACGCAGTGGTGCATGGAATATTTCATAAGTAATAAATATTATCTTCAATATCATTTTAATGGCTATATACTAGTCCATTTTATAGATCTAATGTAATTTATTATTGATACTTGGGCTACTTCTATTGCAATGAGCCGAATAAAAATCAACTTGGACTACTCAGACACGTACTTCATTAACAAAGGTATGTATAATCTGCATGTTTGAATATGCACTGTGTTCAGTACTTGCATCAACTCACAGGCCTGCCTCTTTAGCCCCCACTGACCCCCAAGTCTTTGCTCCAAATACATCTTCACCTGCTTGCCTACTTGGACCTGGCTGTCCTCTGCAGTGTGCCTGACTCAGTGAGAAAAAATGTGAATGGATTTCCAGCTGTCTCAAAGTCAAGTGCCCATAACATGGTTGCTCAGAAATCTATGGAATATCAATTAATGCTGTTACCATGTCGTAAGAACAAGTGCTTCATCTCGGCTTGCTCTATTTCTGTTGAGCTGCACTGTCCATTATGTTAGCCACTAGGTACACATGACCATTTAAATTTCAATAAAAATTCACGAAAATTCAATAAAAATTCAGTTCTTTGGTTCCACTAGCCACATCTCAAGGACACATTTCAGTAGCTATACATGACACTGTTTTATTGAACAACACAGAGGATGCTATCATGGGCATCATCACACCTTCAGGTTAAGGTATGCACGTTCACCACCTTGCCCGCAAGGCCTAGGTGCAGTGAGAAAGCAGGACAGCATAGCTTACATTAAATAGTTTTTTTAAAATCTTGGTACTATGGATATATATGTATATATACCTTTTCCTTTTTTAAATTTTTAAAAAATTTTTTATTAGTGAAATACCATGAGGTACAGTTACAGACTTACAAATTTTTGTGCTTGGGTTTCAGTTATACAATGATAAAGTACCCATCCCTCCACCAGTGCCCATCCTCCACCACCATGGGTCCCAGCATCCCTCCCACCCATATTTTTAAAAATTTTTTTATGCTTTTATTTGGGTTACACCTGGCGAAGCACAGGGATTACTCCTGGCTCTGCACTCAGGAATTACTCCTGGCAGTGTTCAGGAGACCATATGGGATGCTGGGAATCAAACCCGGGTCGTCCACGTGCAAGACAAACACCCTACCCTCTGTGCTACCGTTCCAGCCCCCCTCCCTTTTCTTTATTATCCTATAGCTGGCTATTTTTTCCCATATAAAGATGACATTCCTGAAAATCAAAGAAATAATTTATCATTTGAAAGTGGCTAACGGGTGGGGAACAAGTTGTCTCTCTCTCTCTCTCTCTCTCTCTCTCTCTCTCTCTCTCACACACACACACACACACACACACACACACACACAAGAACCAGTGCTCGGGGTGGTCTTGAGAATCCTAGTGTTGCTCCTGGTTTCACCATTGCCTCTGTTCTCCCCTGCCCCTATCACACATAACCACATGCCCATCTTGATCACTGTCCAGCAGTAAGGCATTCCTACCCATAAGTTCTTCCATATCCAACTTCAGCCAGTGTTCCAGAGTTGTAAAGATGAAAGTTATTTATTAATGAAGTGAAATTGTTTTTCCACTGCAGTTACTTATGCTTCCTGTTTCTATTTCTAGCTTGAGCAGTTTCGGACCCTACTTTTCACTTCCAAGGGGGAGAAAGAGCAAAGAATGGTGGACAACTTCCGCCCTCTGCAGCCACTGATGAATCGAACGGTTCGCTCTTCCTTCCGCCACGATTATGTGCTGAATATACAAACCAAGCCCATGCCCTCAACCAGCCAAGTGACCCGCTAGATGTTCGTGTCTAGGTGGTATTTTGTTTTAATGTGTACAAGCTACAAAATATTAACTATGCTAGTCTAGACACCTGCATAAAATCCTAACTTATAGGTGGGCATTTCTTGATCTGTCAGTGTTCCTTTGGCTTGAGAAAAAGCTACTGATAAACAAATTCTTACCTTTTTTTGATACTGATGTTTAACGCTGAAATACCAGCAAGCACCACTGCTTTCTCTTATGACAATCTATTTCTTTTTTTCATGGCATATCTTGACCTATCTTTTTATCTGTTAGTGGTTCAATAGAGTTGCAAGTAGGGGTGATGACCAAACTAGTTCACAATGATAAGATACAGACTGACCATCTCCAATGCAAGTCTTTCTGAAATAGCCCTGGGGTTAGACTGGTAATTCCTGGCTCAATATTGCTCATGGCTTTAGGTATATTGTATTTCAAAATATGAATATGGCTTCTGTTATAAGGCTTCTTCAGTGAGTACATTTGCCCTAATCTTTAATTGTCAGTACTAGTATAGGATATGTTTATTTAGTTATTACAAATTTAGGATACTGCAAAGGTATTTTATAGTCCTAGGAAAACAAAGATTTACTTATATATGAAAAATCCTTTTGTATCTCTTAAGGTTCGATATTTTACTTAAAGGGTGGATAAAATTGAAAGCATAAGCAGAATATTTTTAAAGAAAATGCTTGAAGTGCTTGCACCTTAAAATTTTTAATAATATATTTAGAGAAAAAAGTTCAGGACTACATATATTAGTCTATAATATATAGCACCATTTTGCATTATTTGTATACTGTTTTGTATTTTCTACAGACAGAACTATCTTGCCATGTCTTTAAAAATTTCTGAACTTTATTTTATTTCGTTAGTTGAGATTCTGTGTTAAGCAAGTGATTAACATCAATCTCCCAATTCAGTCAGAGATTTATGAAGACTTTTTCCACAGTGACAAGGAGAGATACTTGTCAGATTAAGCTAAAATCTGGAGAGTCTCACATTCTGAAAAATACATGCCACTAGTGTCCTTGCTTACAGTAACTTGGAATTATTCTAATTGCCTATAAAGCCATGTTCAGGCTTAGCATTGTATTAACTACTGGTTAATATTTCTTTAATTAATATTCTAGTTCCCTAGCAAGCTAGGGTTGGAAGAATGTACTTAACACTACTGAACTATACACTGGAGAGAGTTAAGATGGTAAATTTTATGTTACAGGTTTTCCTATAATGGTCCTATTTGGTATGATTCAGTAGATTATTAGTTGGGTCTAGGAACAGTAGAAAATTTCTCAGATAAATCAATGCTAACGGTGTTCTCAGATTCCCAAATAACTTACCAAATCATACTCACATGTTCTGCTTGCAGATCGAGAGGGAGCCCTATAGTGCATTTTTACCACAATTAAATATTGATATGCCAAAAACAGTAACAGTAACAAGTCTCACAATGGAGACGTTAGTGGTGTCCGCTCAAGCAAATTGATGCTACAGTGCTAAATATTAATAATAATTTCAGGATAAAAAAAGATAGGGTTGCACTTGTATGGGTAAGTTTGGTGGGTATATGCTCTTAAATGGAGGTAGGGGGAGGCATTTGCTTCTAGATTTCATGCTATTTCTGGAAATGGAATGCATGTATGCCCTAGGAAATGAATAAAATTATTATTTTGTATGAAGGCACTTGCTAAAATCTCAGGACTAGAACGAATGGAGACGTTACTAGTACCTTCTCGAGGAAATCGGTGAACAATGGGATGACAGTCACAGTGACAGTGATGAAGGCACTGTGACTTGCAAAGTCATTCATAATAGAGTTGTTTTAGGCATACAATGTTCGTTCCGACACCAATCCCACCATCAATGTCCCCTTCCTTCCACCAGTGTCCCCAGTGAATAAAATTATTTCAAAAAGATAAATTTGTGCAAGAAGTTTATGTTAACTCTGTAAAATTGATCAAATCACAGTAGCTTTTGAAATGGTAAACACCCAAGATAGGCTGTTTCCCCGGGCACTTAGGTTTTCCCTTCTACACCCCTGACAGACTCCGAGTGCCAGGAGTGAACACGGCCTATTCATTGCAATGAGTCTTCCAAAACGGAGTGAGAGTCTGTAGAGACTGCCTGAGTTTTCCTTGTGCCTTAGAGATGCCCAGGATATATTTCCAGGGTGTTTTCCAATTGGCACTTCTGATTTACTGTCACCCACATTAGGGCTGGAACGATAGCACAGCGGTAGAGCGTTTGCCTTGTACGCAGCCAACATGGCCAACCCGAGTTCGATTCCTCCGCCCCTCTCGGAGAGCCCGGCAAGCTACCGAGAGTCTCTCGCCCACACGGCAGAGCCTGGCAAGCTATCCGTGATGTATTCGATATTCCAAACACAGTAACAACAAAGTCTCCAATGGAGACGTTATTGGGCCCACTGGAGCAAATCGATGAACAACGGGAGGGCCTTTACTTTTTACTTACTTACACATTAGGATGTTATTATTAACATCGCCTCTTTCCCTCTCAAACACTGTTCTGGTCTGCCTGATTTATTCTTGTTTGTCAGTTATGCAGAAGTTGTGGAAAATGCCTTGGTGGGGGTGCCGGGGAGTTCCTTGATGACTTGGTCATAAGATTAACTAAGTGGTGTGTGAATTCTCTGGCTACTGATAACACCCTAGCAAGAAACCTTCTTGTTGATTAATTTATTTTTATTTTTTATTGAATCACTGTGAGATACAGTTACAAAGTTGTTCATGATTGGGTTTCAGCCATAGTGTTCCAATCAATGTCCGTTCATTTCCCACCACCAACATCCCCATTTTCTCTCCCACCCCAAGCCCCACTTTTCCTCTCTCACTCTCTCTTTTCTTTTGGGCATTATGGTTTGCAATACAGGTGCTAAAAGGTCACTTCCTTGTTCTGTTTTTAATTTATAATTTGATTTGATTTTTTTAAGGGCTGGAGCGATAGCACAGCGGTAGGGCGTTTGCCTTGCACGCAGCCAACATGGCTGACCCGAGTTCGATTCCTCCGCCCCTCTCGGAGAGCCCGGCAAGCTACTGAGAGTATCTCGCCCGCACGGCAGAGCCTGGCAAGCCGCCCGTGATGTATTCGATATGCCAAACACAGTAACAACAAAATCTCCAATGGAGACATTACTGGGCCCGCTCGAGCAAATCGATGAACAACGGGAGGGCCTTTACCTTTACCTTTTGCTTTTTTGGGTCATACCCAGCGATGCTCAGGGGTTAACTCCTGGCTCTCCACTCAGGAATTATTCCAGATGGTGCTTGGGGGCCATATGGGATGCCTGGGATTGACCCGGGTTGGCTGCGTGCAAGGCAAACACCCTACATGCTCTACTGCTCCGGCCCCACCTCCTTATTCTTTTCCACAGTTTTCAATTCCAACTATCATTTTCATAGTGGTCCCTCCCCTCCCCACTTGTGGCAAACTTCCAGTCATGTACTAGTCCTCCTGGTCCTCATGTCTACTGTCTTTGAGTATTAGTCTAATACTATGTTTTTATATCCCACAAATAAGTGCAATCATTCTATGTTTGTCTCTATCCCTCTGACTCATTTCATTCAGCATGATTCTCTCCATGTTCATCCATATATAAGCAAATCATGCTCCACTTTTTTCCACATCTGGCTATTGTAAATAGTGCTGCAATGAACACTGACATGCAGATGGCTATTCTGAACTTTGTTTTTGGGCCCCTAGGGTATGTTCCTTGGTCAGTGGTGTTTCATCTTTGAAGATGCCTTTAGCTTCAGTGTCATGGAGGGTTCTGCCTACATTTTCCTCTATGTACCTTATGGATTCTTATCTGATATTGAGGTCTCTAATCTATTTTTATCTGACTTTTGTGCATGGCATTGGAAAGATGTCTGAGTTCATTTTTTTTTGCATGTAGCTGCCCAATTTTCCTAGCACTATTGTTGAAGAGGCTGTCCTTGCACCAGAGAAACCTTTCATGACTTTCTCTGCCTCCAGGCATTTTTAGGCAGGGAGTTGGGACTGCACCCAGTGGTGCTCAGAGACTATTCCTATCTCTGTGCTCAGGAGTGACCCCTGGCAGAGCTCAGAGGACCATATGTGGTACCAGGGAACAAACCAGTTTGCCTACATACAAGGCAAGTGATTGTCTCTCTGATCCCCAAAGGTGTTTTGCTTGTACCTTTTCTAGACACGAAGGGGGAATTGGGCTTGAAACATGTGAAAGGATTTGAGAAAGATTTTTATATTAAAATTGCTTCTCATCTTCATCAAATGGGCTGGAGCGATATAGCACAGTGGGTAGGGCGTTTGCCTTGCATGCAGCCAACATGGCTGACCCGAGTTTAATTCCTCTGCCCCACTCGGAGAGCCCGGCAAGCTACCGAGAGTATATCGCCCACACGGCAAAGCCTGGCAAGATACCCATGGTGTATTCGATATGCCAAACACAGTAACAATAAAGTCTCATGATGGAGATGTTACTGGGCCTGCTCGAGAAAATCGATGAACAACGGGAAGACAGTGACAGTGACATCTTCATCAAATAAAACTAGATTAATAAACCATTTCTTTACAATACTAACATCTACTGGATGACTTTTTCTTCCTATTAGTCATTTTAAGTGAGAAACTGTAAAACTGTTAAGAAATCCTTTTATATGTAGACCAGAGAGTGGCAGCAAAAGTCATAGGGGAATATACTAGAGCCATAAAAATGGAAAAGGCACTTTCTCCTCAGCTTGCCTCTTTCTTTTGAACCCATGCACAATCTTGCATATATGATGCATAAGCAACCCGCTATCCACTTTCTCCTGTCCCACGAATATGTGGGTGAGGTTCAAGTCGATTATTCTAAAACCAGGCATCCACACTTTTTTAAATAACGTAGGAGTACTGCTATTTGTTCAGCCACTAATTAAGCTGATTGAATTGGACATGAACTCCACCGGCATCCACTTTTTAAAAAGTTTAGTAAAATGTCTTTCCCTTGCTCATTGGGGGCGGGGAGCACATATTAGCAAACATATAGAATTATAATCACTGTAGGGATCTTCCTGCATCGCTAGAAGAATCAACATTCTTTACTTGATAAATACTCTACTTAATTTGTGTTCAATTTTGTTTGTTAAATTCTTTCATATAAAAATGTGTTGACCAGGAGCCAAAGCGGCACAGGGGGTTCTGTGTTTGTTTGCCTTTCATGCAGCTGACCTGAATTTGAGTCTGAGAACCCCATCTAGTCCCCTTCCCCCTGCCAGGAGTGATCCCTGAGTGCAGAGCCGGGAGTATGCCCTGAGCACTGCTGGGGGTGTGACCACAAAAGAGGGAAAAGACCACAAAAGAGGGGAAAATGTATTAATCAAAATTGGCCATCATTTACCTAAGCAAATCAGCTCTATTTTTGCTAGGCAATTAGATGAACTACAAGATAATTTGATGAATGACTACTATCATTTACTAGATAATTATATTTACTGGCTGGAGTGATAGCACAGCGGGTTGGGCCTTTGCCTTGCACGCAGCCAACCTGGGTTCGATTCCTCCATCCCTCCTCTCGGAGAGCCTGGCAAGCTACCGAGAGTATCCCACCCGCACAGCAGAGCCTGGCAAGCTATTAGATATGCCAAAAACAGTAAACAACAAGTCTCACAATGGAGATGTTACTGGTGCCTGCTCGAGCAAATCGATGAACAATGGGAGGACCGTGCCTCAGTGCTATGTCCCTCTAAAATTCACACATTGAAACCTACCTCCCAATGTGATAGTACTGGGAGTTGGGCTTTTGGGGGCTCTTTTTTGGCTTTTGGGGTCACACTGTTGATGCTCATGAGTTACTCCTGGCACTGCACTCAGGAATTACTCTTGGTGTTGCTTGGGGGACCATATGGGATGCCAGGGATCAAACCCAGGTGAGCCACGTGCAAGGCAAACGCCCTACCCGCTGTATTATCACTCTGGCCCAAGGGACTCTTAATAGTGGAGCCTTATGATGGAATTAATACCTTTATAAAATATGAAACCTAAACGAGCTCTCTTACCGCTTTCACCTTGTGTGAATACAAGAAGATGACCGACCATCTATGAACCGGGAAGGATTCAGCCAGCACATCTGTCACCATCTAATAGAAGACTTCCAGCATCCAAACCTTTGGTTTTTTTTGTGATTGAAAAAATTGCATTTATTTTTAAACTCAGAAATTCAGCTGATAACCTCAAATGACCCATCCATTTCTTTTTTTTGTCATA